GGGTGTACGTGATACTTGTACACACACACACACACACATGTATGCATGCACCATACATACATGTACACCAACTAAAAATTATTCGGCACCCTTACGGCGTGATACAATATGACAGGAGTGCCGAATAATTTATTAGTGGGTGTACATAAAATAAAATAATTAACAATAATAATATGACAAGATGTTTGGAAGTGGCTGCATAAGTACTGAAGGTCCTACAATATCACACAAAATCAATATCAAGCAAAACAAATCACAATAGTCAAATGCCAACTCACAAAACACCAGAGAGAGGGTATACTTCTTTACCTAAAGACAGCTGTGTCTACACCGACTAGAGTGTACCAGTAGGTCACCGACGTCACCTCTCTACCGCCAAATACTGACGTACTATATCCTGATTGGCCAAAACATAAACTTTATCTAAATTACCTATTGACATTAGTTCCACTTAACTAAGCTATATACAAACCTAATACAATAAAATATAATATACTTAAACATGATATATTAACTACACAAAGTAATAAACAAAGTTAATACTTAAATCATGAATCATTCAGTGTGGAATAGTAATGAGCGAAACTGCTCGAGCTAAACACACACCATCCGAACCAACGCATTTCATACTAAGAACAGAAACTTATGGCGGACACGCGTAACACCTACTATGTTGGGTTGATATACCCTCAGTAGTGTTTCAAACTCCACTCTTTTATCAAGGAACGTGTGAGTATTTGTGTACATGACTTTCAAGCCGGAAATTGATCTCGGTAATGTCTCTGGTCTTGGTATTGACCCCGGCTCCCCTTCAGTCTCTGCAGCGTCCTCGTTTACTGCATCCTTTGTGTTTCGTGGGGTGTGGTCATAGATGACATTGTTTACATGGAGCTCGCCTCCTGCTGGGTGGGAGGTAGAGCAGATGGGGGTGTCCCGCTGTCCCCTGGCTCTTTACTGGTGCTCCTGCTTCCATTACCTTCCCCTTGTTTATATAGACCATGTACTACGTCCGTCCCGTTCCTCATCGATTCATCCCTCATCTGCTTCAAGGACTCCAGTAGTTTTCAGTGATGTTCCTTTTGCATTACCGTGCGATCAGGGTTTATGAATATACCCCGAAATGTATCGCCCCTTGCTAAGTTTTTTGCATGGTGAATAATTTTTCACTTCATACCCTTACTCACAAGTGTGATCCTGAGGGGCTGGGCTTATCCTCCTGCCTTTGTTCTAGCCTCTTCACGTCGTGAGTGGGAGCTGATACTTTAAGAGCCTCATCAAAAATATTCTGAAATTTCAACTTATCGTGTGTTTTCCTAGTTTCAGCTTCCTCCGACTGGCTCCCAAGGATTCCAAACACTATTATGTTGTTCCTGCGCTCTGAACGTTCTCGTTTCTCCTCCTCTCGATTATCAGTAGGTCTACTAATTGTCAACTCTTCGACACACTTCTGCAGAGTCCCTAGCCGCCGGAGGACCTGCATTACTCTCCGTCACCTTCTGTAACCCTGCTACAACCTGAGCATAGCTCCTCTTAACTACTTCTTTTGTTCTGTCAGCTACTTCTCCGGTCTTAGTGAGGATCTCTTTCCCAATCTGATCCAGCTTGGCAACCAACACGGATTTAGTTTCCTCTATTTTTGTCTCAAAGTATCTCTTTCCCCTGTGATCTGCAATCGCCTCGCTTACATTGATTATGCAGGTAGAGCAATACCAGCAACAGCCTTCATGCTTTTCCTCATTCAGCAACGTCCTGAACACTGTAGAGCACAGACCAGCGCACTGATTCCCTACGCCTTCTCAAGTCTTGTCATAAAGTTTCCTCTTCCTTTTACGTACTGTACATACACCTGTGGGACACGCAGTGTTTGTCAGATGTCACTGTTGGGGAGGGGGGTGTAAACTCTGTAAGAATCTTCTTAGCCAGTGATTTTTTTTACAACCTCATGGCACTGTAAGGTTATTTTCAAAGTTACACCAGCTTTCAGATGATGGTCGGTCCATGGGCCGAATTGATAGTCATTACGAAGCACAATGCCAATTGATAGTGTTCGTGCTGGTCTATTAATAGTCATCCCGATAAACGAGGTATCGGAAGGGAACCGTACGCATATCCCTGAAATGTTGGAAACAACATCGGGTGGCTACCCCCACCCGATAGCTGCCTTACGACAAATAATAATCATCATTATATTTTATGAAAGTTCTTCCAGTACTTTATATTACAGATGTCTACGTCGAATTATATTATTTTTTTTGATAAGAACCATTAAACGAAGTGTTAATACGGATAAATGAACTTTCACAACACTGTTATGAACTTGAAACATTATTGGAATGTTGACATCACAGCTCCGACTTCGATGACGACTGCTGTCTGTGCTGTGAGCCTCATCTTCAATTAACAATTACTTCTGTTATCATTTAAGGTATGTTTCTTATCTTTATTCATTCATACAATATTTTTGTCGTAGTAGTAATAAAATTTCAACCATCTGAAACACGAAATACACTTATTTTTTCCGGAATGGGGCAAGCCAAGTGAGCTCACTCTATCTTGAGTTAGCAATGAAAATATCACAGTTTTGGGCCCAGTAATATAGTTTAGTATAAACGTTAATATTTATTTTCAACAAGATATTAGCTATGGGGTACGATCTACAGTGTCTTGTGTGTCAGGCAGAAATATGCCGACATAAGTAAGTAGAAGATTTCATTTTCTTTATTCTTTAACTTAAATATTTACTGTCACTAATAAAATAAAGAATAAGTACAGCTTACTATCAATACAAATAATTGGCTCTAAAATTCTGCAATACTCGGCTACATCACAGTTTTAATAATACACTCAACACTGCACTCTTTGGTTAAAAAAAAATCTATTTACTTTTAATTTTTACAAATGATATTTTCATTCATCTAAGTGTAACTACATTTTTTAGCTATATTCTAAACAATATCAGAAAACCACACAGCACAGTAGACAGTTTAGGAGTGACAATTAACTAAACTTGGTTGTCACAAAAAAAGCCCATTGGATGCACAATTGGTCAACTTGACGTAGTTTGGCTCTTAAGAAGTTTCTATGCAATTTGAAGTGTGTGTACAATGCAAGGCAGGGGCCCCCACTGCACTGACATGAGAGATCAGTTTTAACTTTGCCATCTGTATGATGGTATTCAATCGGCAACACTTACAGATTTCTATAAAAAACATTGGTTAATTGAAAAAATTGTGCATCAGTCATATTTAATATTTTGTTAGGTTAGGTTATGTTAAGTTAGGTGAAGTTTAAATTCGATTAGATTAAGTTAAAGTGAGGTTAGGTTAAGTTAGGTTAGGTTATTATTTTTTTTTTAAGTTAAAGATAGGTTAGATCCATATTTTGTGCCAGTTATTCACTGGTAATGTGGGTCAATTTTCAAGGGGGCAGTTGTCCTAGAAACAAATTTTATTAAAAAATTTAAATTAAGAAATTATAAATATAATGATAATGTTCTGATTTTACAGCATGCAGACCTACAGACAACACCTTGATGACATCGAAGAAATAAGGATGTTTAGTCAAGTTGATGATATGAGGAAGCGACGATTAAATATAAGACGAGATCCTTTTCAGTATTATAATGAAAAGGAATTTATTCAGTGCTACAGAGCATCTAAGGACAGTACCAGGGAGCTGCTTACAAAAATCAGACATCATCTCCCGCATATTCACAACGTCAAGACTTTGTGACAGTCTGCAGGCCGGTGGTTATCGAGGCTTTCTCCTTGGTTATAGTGAATATGCGTTGCGTCCATACTTACTCACTCCAATCCATAATCCAGCGAATGAAAGGCAGAGGAAATATAACAGATCTCATATTAAAACAAGAACTACAATTGAAAGGACATTTGGAGTGTGGAAGAGGAGATTTGCTGTCTTACAACATGTAAGAGCAAAGCTGTCTACTACCAAAAATATTATAATTGCATGTGCAGTTCAACATAATATTACTTTGATTTCTGGACTTCCACTGGACATAGAAGACATGCATTAAGAAGTAATACGGCTTTAGTTAGTTAGGTAACTACTATGTTCCATACATTACTTTAAGTGGCGAACGATTCATGTCATTAAATTTTAATAAAACAGTGGTTCTATATTATTTCTTTATTAAAGCCTTTTCATTCATTCTTAAATTATGTTGCCTTAAATTGTCTAATTTTTACTTCATTGAGGTCTTTAATAAGGAAGCTTACCTCAATATGTATGATAATTCACCTGTGAGGTAATATGAAGAAAACCAAAGGAAAGAAATATAGATTTATTTTTTCTAAATGTGCAAAAATTAAGAAAATAAAAATTATTGTTTCTATACAGGACTCTGCATTTCATTAATATCACAGCTTATATTATAGATATACATAAAAATAAATCTGAACTGCCATACTTTGTACAATATTTGCACAAAATAGAAATGCGGAGACAAATTTTCTCTTAAATTAAATTATATATGAATGCATCAAAATTAATAAACTAAAAATCTCCTATATCCATTACTTTGCATATAACAACTTGTATTATAAATCTACCCCCCCCCCCCACTTTAGTCTATAGCACAGTAAAAAGAATTGCAATTATTGAAAATCACAGCATACCTGTATATCATAAAAAAAAAAAAAAAATCTTAGCTGCCATACTTAAGACAGCAATTGTAAACAATGGCAAAATAAAGAAATGTAGATTTCTTTCCTTTAAATAAAATTATTTTAAGGTGTAAGACATAAGAAAATAAATTTATAATCTAGATGCCACTTTACGATATATCACAGTACCCCTGTATATAGTAAAATCATAAACATTGCATATGACTGTAGGTTATTACTCAACCATCATTCATAAGTTTTAGCCATGGCATCATATGCAGTTGATGCTTTCCTTAAACATGTATCTAACAATTCAAAAGATTTATTAATTTTTTCAAGCGTCTTTTCAATCACTCTAATTACAGTTTCACTCTATCTTTCTTTGAGTGTATGTGCTGATATTATGGCCTTCACTTTCAGTTCCTCCTCATGCTCTCTTTTCATTGTGTACAATTTATATTTGTGGAACTCCCCTTGTCTTTTCTCACAATGACTGGTGAGGCAGGAACAGAGGGTGAAATTAGAAGTCGAAAAACAGAAGTAGATGGTGCAGAAGACACAGTTGATAGCCCTGGTGTTGGAACAGGCAAAACAAGAGGATCGTGGGAGTGAGGAAGTTCAGGTACACTTGCAGAAGTCTTCCGCATGACACGAGCACTGGGTGGCGATTTCTTCTGAAGCTAATGATAGTTTTTCTGGAGGACCACCACCCGCTCTCCTATATCTCTGGTTTTAGTTCTGAAAGAAACAGAAGAATATAAATGCTTTATACAGTACTAGGCTACAGTCTTATCTGCATTAAAATTTACTATGATATGCTGGTAAAAAGGACTCGTGCTTCTGATAAGTTTTTGGAGGTGACCCTTCAGAAACTGAGCATAGACCTGTTTGAAGCTATCTTGCCAGAATAATTTGGCTTGCTAAGTGTGTATTGCCAGGCAACTAATGGAAAGTACACTAACTCTGCAGAATCATATCTGTTTCATATAGATTTATATGCTGTATAGCTTGGTTCTAGGATAATTGCCCCCCCAATGCCAGTGAATAACTGGCACAAAACATGGAAATAACCTAACTTTAACTTAAAATAACCTATCCTTACCTAACTTAACCTATTTTAACCTAACCTATTTTTAACTTAACCTAACTTTATTTTAACCTAACCTAAATTTAACTCACATGACCCGTCACTTAAATACTGTAATCCTACTCAATTTAGTAACCTAATGGCAAAAATCCTTATTTTTAAATACTAAACTTAGAAATAAGCATATACTTACTCCTTTTTATGTTGGAGCTCCTCTTGAGGTGCTTGGCTGTAAGAGGGAGTTGATCTCGGTTGCTGGTGTTTAATGAGGCAGTAATTTCATCCTAGGCCTTTCTTTTGCTGTCATTTATTGTGTTACAGTACTAGTAGACCTGTCCTCGACGACTGGCCTTTGCTCGATAAGGCGCAAAAGTGCTATGTGCAGGGTTACTGACAGGGCTGCAGAACGTTCTCTCCTCTCCATGTTTGATAACACCTGCGCAAACATTTTTGCCAAGTACACAGATGAAAAAATTGTCTGTAATTTGTTTAGAACAGATACTAAAGTTCAATTTGAAAAAAAAAGAAGATATTTTTCAATATATTATTGTGCCGGTATAAAATAACAACTAAATATCTCTCTAAACCGTCTTTCTAATTATGTGAAATAATGCATTTGGCAGACGCGCGTGGGAAACGTTTGTGCTGCCATACGAAACGAAGTGTTGTGTTTACACACGCTATATTCCTAGTTAAAGGCTCATGTAAGTGACTAGCAATATGGTACTGAGCGTTGGGTGGTTGCATCCCGACACACGATGCATCGTGATGATGATGGTGATCGTCATTATCGTCGTAATGACTAGGAATACGGCCCCCATGGTATGTAATCATAGTCTACATATTTCACTGTTCACCAAGGCTGTTATTTCAGGGTTTTCCTGATTAATTGGTCAAAGGAGCTGGAGGCTTATAACACCACGAACTCAGGCCTTCCTGCAAGTGTTGCTCGGCGAATCTGTTCCTTCCTGGTAGGCGTACTGTGGTGAATACCACCTTCATAAAGTCATCGCCTGGCTATGTGAAGAGTCACGTCTAGCTACAGCTGGTCTCTTAAGGTCTTGCTCAGGGACAGTTACATAAATTTCCACTTTCTTCCCATCTTTTCAACCATAAACCCACTGTTGTTTTAGAAATGCCAAGGTCTGCAGCAATTTCTCATAAACCTTGGCCATTCTCCCTCATTCTGATTATTCTTCCTCGTAGAGGTTTACCATTTTGCTTCTGGTTCATCTTGATTCCAATATATCTCTGGCCTCTCATGTGTGTTGAGTTCTGTCAATACTTCGGTTTCGAGAGAAACCACATTGACGTCATATAACTGCTGGATTTCAATACGAAACTGGCGAACTAGCTGTTACTCAGGTTGACCCATTATTCCTTCAAAAACATGTGATACATTTTATAACACGAAGGATAAATATGAGTTACAAGTGAGTTTTCTGCCTCATTTTTGTCGATACATACTGTAGATTGTTGCAAATGCTAAGGGTTAGCATTATCGAATATTTAGTAAAAGTAAATCTATTCATAAGTTGATCGACCTGCACCATCACAATTTCTCCTACCTTACCCCACTCTCATAAAATGTCATAAAACATCCACGTAACCATTATTTACACCTGTATATAAGAGATGCGCCAGCTGTCTTTCTCATGCTGGATGATAAGTTCATGTAAAGACTATTGGCGAGAAGGACTATGAAAACGGGGTATTATCCATGTCGAGACAAAAAAATATCATACTGTTACTCGAGGAATGGTGGCCACACTCGATGTTGACATTGCTGCTATTTAATGCAAAATAAATGTGATTTGTGTAATATCAATTGTTATCTATTCATTAAGAAAAAAATCTGCCATGCTTTCATAACTTAATTTCATTAATCATATGATATACACGTAAATTTTACTATTTCCTGTTGACTATTCCTTGTTCCAACTGTAACTAGTTATTAAAGTAATATTGTATCGTGCTATTATCATAGTCATATTCCTTCCAATATGTTTGAAAACAAACTGTAGTAACATGCTTTATAACATATTAATGACGGTGTCTTGGTTTTGCGGCAATGTGAACTGCATTAACAAGACGTTTTACGTGTTGACAGTGCAGGTGGGAGGGATATTGAGCAGGATGACCAACTGAATTTCTAAGTATGAAATGTTACATAAAAAAAATAAGAAAATCAACGCTCGTTCGTGGAACATCTTCGACTTGGACTGACCAAAATATTTCATTAACACTTGGTTTCTCAAATCTGTGGCCTTAGTTACAAGTGGTGAGCCTAGCCTGGCATTGCAAATTTGCCTTATCTGTGATTCCTGTTTCACAGTAATTCCAATCATAAACTTAAGAATAAAGTTTCGAGGTGGTCTCTAGTAAAAATAATTATTTGGAAGATATTTGCATAATACTTAATTCATCATAAATAGTATTTACCGACATATATACAGGCAAACATATGTTAACCAATAACATCACTGTTACAAATGGATGAGTTTATTCATATAATTTCTCAGTTACCACTAGCCATTCACTAAGCCTGTAGCAGGTTCATTTATTCCCAACTGTACATACTGTATTTGCACACATAATTTTATGATTGGTCGCCAGCTTGACCGTTGGCATTTTGTTCTTAAAAAAAAGCAGCTTCAAGATTGCCATGTGGAATATGCAGATCAGGTACTAACATTGAGTTCCTTCAGCTCAAAAGTTGTTCTTTGGATAGAAGGCGCCGACCTTCTTCCTAAAGCGACGGTGGAGGTCTGAGTAATCAGTTAAAGTTCAAAACCACAACACTGGCTTAAGACCTCATATACTGTACTGTATGCTTCACCACATCTTTTTCAAAACCACCACCATCAACAGCAACACCATATTCTCAGTGTGATTATTATTATCACCACCATCATTACTACTATAATCACCAAAATCGCTCCAACCAATGTTCATCCCACCACCATTCAAATATTCTACCAAAAGTTATCCATACCCATTATCACCCATAGCCATATTCTTTTCTTCATCACTTCATTCGTCACCAATACACCAAAAGCGACAACACAACTAAAATCATCTTTAACATCACAATTTTTCTTATTATCGCCACAACTGTTTCTAATGCCACCACAATTGTTTCTAATACCACTACAATTGTTCCCACAATCATCAAAATCATTCCCACTACCAACACACTTGTTTCCACTACCAAACTTAGTATCTTCCTCAACAACATCACAATCATCTCTGACTTGAACCACAAATTTGCCCATCACTCAAAATCATCGCCACTACAGTCGCACTCCTCACCACCCCTACAACAATGTATTTCGTCTATATCACTACTATCATAAGAGAGCATGAGAGAGAGAGAGAGAGAGGACTAATTATAAATCTTTTCGCTTCCTCGTCTCTCTTACCAATAAGTTCAGTCCAGGTAACTCAGCTTACCTGATATACGACCAATATTTCATCTCCTCACCAGTTTGACTCAGTTGTATATCTACTATAGAGGGCGAACTTTCTAAAATGTTTGTACGTTGAAATTTTATCGTAACTGGATATTTGAGAACGTGCCAAACTAGAGGAAGTAAGTTACGACACAAAGGTGGATTCTCAAATAACCCTACTTTGATTTTTCTATGAAATTGAATATACATGGTTACATTAACCTAACTGCGTTTCGACAGAAAAAATAAGACATATAAAATCCAAGGTGATATCAAAATCTCACAGAAACTTTACCGTAATTGCATATAGCAACAATTACTTGGTTAATGTTACCGTAAAGAATCGCTGTGATATCAGACACAGACCTTTCCCTTCCCTAGAACGTTTCATTTTTGTGCAAGGGTCAAACTGCTCCATATTTCTGGGATGTGTTTGTTTGTCTATTTGCCTACGCGTCCTCGTTACCTTTAGCTTACTAACGATGTGTTGTTGGTTAGGTAAACTTTTTTGGAACCCAGTTGACAGAATTCTAGTCCTTACTAAAGTGTATCTGTTACCGTGCTGTTTACAACTGCATTACTCAGAATTTCAGATATACAAAAACTGGCCCAAGTTTATACCTCGTACCATATTATTTAAAGTTCTTCTTCTTCTTCTTCTTCTTCTTCTTCTTCTTTCATTATTAGTGGGTTTTTTTAGATGTCATCCATATTATTATCATTGTGATAATTATTGTGGTTGTTTGTCTATTTTGCTATTAGTACTGAACACACACTCACACACACACACACACACACACACACATTGACTATACTTACACAGCCATAGACGGTAGCCAAACATACACACACATCCATTAGCTACACACACAAAAGAGCATTGGCCTCGCACATATATATATACCGACATTAGCCACACACACACACACACACACACACACACATACCTCACATGCAAATACACACACTATAACACCAAATGAATCCCACCTCTGCCAACAATATATTCCTGTCGCTATATTCATCAATGTCATTCCCAAAATCATCATTGAAATGCGCCCGACAATTCATATTTAGTGGGAAAAATGAGAAGCGATGCAAAAACTGGCTGAATTCAATATATTTCTTTTTATGACTGTGGAATTACCAGTCATCAATATTGTGGAAAAATGACGAACAATAATGAAATGTGGTGAGCGGGTTGCGTATGTTACATAAATATTTAACAAATCAATGAATATTTGCGATGAATTTTATTACCAGAGCTTACTTCCACCCTATGACTGTGTTTCATTCTATATTACCAGCAACACGATTTTTGAATCGAATTGGAATTAAAGAGGCAAATATTTACAAGCAACGACGGTATAACATTGTTCCTCTGTTCGGTCAGACATGGTTAGCTTAGCGCTGTTATGAACCAAACCACAAATATGTGCTTATTTGGTGAACTTTGACTCTTGTAAATGGCATCATCATGTGGGGCCTAAAACGAGGTACTTTTGTTCCAACTTTAATCTCAACTCGTCTAAATATGATTGTACATCACCTCATAATATAGATTTTGGATGGTTTGAAATTTGACCTCAATAAAATCTCTGAACAAAAATCAAAATAGTAAAAACAGAAAAAAATATCTACGAGCATACTGGACCGAGGTATGAGTCTGGAAAAATGCACACTAATTGGCCCATTAGATTTATTTTTTATCTTATTTACCACTTCTAGTAGGTGGCCATGCCAAGGGAAAAGCCCAGTTGCCTGTGTAGGATCCCTTCATTGTTAATGATAATTTTG